CAAATAGACCAGACAGGCAGCCAGACCAGCCAGCTAGCAAGCCACACTAGCCGGCTAGACCAGCCAGCCAGCCGGACTAGCGAGCCAGCCAAGCCAAGCCAGCCAGACCAGCCAGCCAGACCAGCCAGCCAGCCATACTAGCCAGCTAGAGTGAGAGCTCTCTTAAGGGCATCTTGACCGATGGTCTTCCTTGTTTAGGAAGGACTAGGAAGGAGCAAGAACGGACTGCGCCTGGTTTTACAGAACAAGCTTCCATATCTGTTAGTTCAGCACACACAGGAGAGGAACATCTACAGCATCGGGGACGGCTAAATCTTAAGCATTAGAAAAAGAATCCTCCGATCCAGAGATGGAAGAGCTGGCCTTGCACAGATGGCCATGTGAAGACAGTGGGTGTTGGGATTAAACTGACACACATTCACCAAGGACAAAAGAAATATTGATAGTATTTGTCTACAGATAGTACTTGTAATGTGCAAGTTGAATTCACATCAATGCATGGAATTTCTTGAATTTTTCCACCTCAGCTCTCTGCCAAAGACTTTTCATGCCATTTCTAGTTTACCAGGTGATATATTTCATGTACGTAAAAGACTTGTTTCACTCTTATTCTCTCATCACAATTTATGATTCACTAATGAAGCTGAATTAAAACCCAAGTAAAAAGAGGGAGCAGTTATGAGGTGGAAGTCAAGAGGAACTGGAACAGCTGTTGTGTTTCTCTTCTCTTCAAAAGTTGGCATAGTCAAAGCTATGGTTTTTCTAGTAGAGATGTATGTGAGAACTGGACCATAAAGAAGGCTGACCACCAAAGAATTGATACTTTTGAATTGTGGTGCTGGAGGAGAATCTTGAGAGTCCCCTGGACTGCAAAGAGAACAAACCTATCCATTTTGAAGGAAATCAGCCCTGAGTGCTCACTGGAAGGACAGATCCTGAAGCTGAGGCTCCAATACTTTGGCCATCTCATGAGAAGAGGAGACTCCCTGGAAAAGACTTTGATGTTAAGAAAGTGTGATGGCAAGAGGAGAAAGGGATGACAGAGGACGAGATGGCTGGACAGGGTCATCGAAGCGACCAACATGAATCTGACCCAACTCCGGGAGGCGGTGGAACACAGGAGGGCCTGGCGTGCTCTGGTCCATGGGGTCATGAAGAGTCGGACATGACTAAATGATTAAACAACAACAAAGGGAGTTGCTGTTGTTGCTCAACTCTCACTCCCCTTCCCAAGGTTGTCCAAGAGGTCTTTGGATGAGCCCCAAACACGTGTGGTCACCAGGACCAGCAGGATGGAAATGCCTTACAGGGAGGCAGGAGCCCATCTTGTCCTCCTCCCCTCACCTGGGTTGCTGTTGTTGCTCAACTCTCACTCCCCTTCCCAAGGTTGTCCAAGAGGTCTTTGGATGAGCCCCAAACACGTGTGGTCACCAGGACCAGCAGGATGGAAATGCCTTACAGGGAGGCAGGAGCCCATCTTGTCCTCCTCCCCTCACCTGGACAGTGATGGAGAAGGCAAAGGAGCAGAACAGCCCAAGGCATGATGGGAAAAGCCATGGCCAAGGGGCTTCTTGAGATGAAGAAGGTGTGCCAATCAGCATCCTCTTGTGGGTCTTAAAGCAATCAGGAATTTGTTATGCAAACGCACTTCTTCCTCACGAGTTGCACAAGCTGCCAGAAGAGCCTTGTCCCTCCACCCACAAGGGATGATAAGAGAAGGATGCTGAAGCAGGCAACTTTGGGCAGGAGCTGCCAATTCCAGAGCCTAAGAGGGCTCCTCGGTCTTCAGACGGCACAGATGGAATCGTTCTCTCCCCTGCGGCTGCTTCCTGTCACCCCTCCAGAAGAAGGAGAACCTGCTCCTTTGGGAGATCTTATTTGGACAAAGTCAACTAGTGAAAACTTTTCCAGATGGGAAATTCCTGGTTGGCAGCTGGGATCCACTTTTGAGCCCTCCTCCGATTTCTACTCCTTCCAAAAAATTTTGTACTGAAAATCCAAAAGATGAGGTTTTTAAAATTTACTCGTTCTCCCTCCTGAGCATTTATCCAACCTTATGCTTCAGTGCCTGCAGGTTTGTCCAATGGCCACCGTTTTGTGAGCAACCTCTCAGGTATGATGCATTTTAATATCATTTCAAGATCACTCTCCTTTTTTTTCTGTCTTCTTTTTCGAACATACATTGTGATAAAAATGTCCTTTTGGCCAAAAGAAATGCAGCATGGTGTCAAAATAAAAAGTGTGGGTTTTGAAGGACAAGTGAATTTTCCTTTATATCTCAGTTTAAAGAGTGAAACTTGGAAATATTTGTTTAATGGGACTCAGACTATTTTCTCCCCAGCACTCTTTCCAAAATTTTGTTTGAGGATCTCTGTGTAATCAGAAAGCTTCTCCTTCAACCTCAGATCGTGGAAGTCTGTGCCACACATACCCTATCTTAGAAAAGTGGATCAGGGACATTGACTTCCAGTATTCTATTTCAGTGGCTCGCAAAAACATGCTCCATC